TGGAATAAGCGCTTCCCTGGCAAGCGCAAGGGCCTGAGTTCAATCCCCGGTCCAAAAAAAAAAAAAAAAAAAAAAGACTTGGTTCCCAAAGAATCTGTTTCCCTGCTAGTACCTCACCTGAGGTCTTATAATGTGGGAAACCACTATCTGTTGGAGCCTGTTTTGGCTGATCTTTCCAACTCTGGTATTACTTGTATTACTCTTTCCAACACTACTTTCTTTTTGTTGTTGTTGCATATAAAGACTTAGAAGGCTATTATAATAATAATCCTATAAATAATTAAATGTATGATACTCTTCTTTTATCTTTTTAGAATCTTGTACCTAAACAAGACTTCTTTTTAAGTGTTGTTTAAAACTTAAATCTTCTGGCTAACAAATCAAAACTTCATGGCATAAAAAGGGCAGTATTTGTGTTCTCAATTCCTTTTTAAAAAGCTTTATGTATAATCTATAAATATAGATACACAGACAATACTCCCCCTTGAGTTGCACATCAACATATAGCATTGTACATTATAATAAAAGTTTGTAACTTAAGGGTATTATATATATAAATACATATATACCTTTGTAACCTTTATATTGTAAATAAAAAATTGCTTTTAGAGTTGTTTTTTTTTTATTTTTTAAAAGCAATGAAAGGGCTGGTGAGATGGCTCAGTGGTCTAAAGCACCTACTTGGAACAAGCTTGGCAAAGCACAAGGACTGCAGTTCGATCCCCCAGCACCACATGCCAGCCAGCCCCACCCCCTGGTGGGCTGAGCTAGCCACACACACACACACACACACACACACACACACACAATAAATAAATAATTAAAAAAAAAAAGCAATGAAATACTTTGAAACCTGCAAGAATGTTTCAAAAACAGTCCAAAGAACTTCTACATCCCTTCACCTAAATTTCCCAATTATTAACATTTTTGACATTTCTTCCAATACCCTGACTTGTCTTTCTGACACAACACCCTCTTACCCTAAATTCTCTAGTGTGCGTCTTCCACACACAACTACCCTCCCCGCAATCAGTGCCAGACCACGCTCCTGCTCCTATTCACACCCCACCTGCTGTGCTGGTTTTCCCAACCATGCCTTCTTTCCTTTGTGGCCCAGGATCCTATTCCAGGACCACAGGCTGCTTCCGGTTGTCCCATCTTATCAGTGTCGGGCCGGGGAGATGGCTCAGTAGGATAAGTACTTGACTGCCATCTTATCAGTGTCTTCATCCTAGAAGAGTTGCTCAGCACCCACCCCCACCCCACCCCAGTTCTGCGCCCCTGAGTTTCCTGGGCTCTCCCTCTACTGGCTGAGCCTCCATCCAGCTCATAGCACCGCCTCAGACCTAAGTCAGCCTTTTGTCCTTGGCAGGAGGACCACAAAGGGGATCCCATGGCCTCCTCAGCCTCATTCAGTGCTGTGTCAAGTCACCCAGGTGTGGCCAGTGGGAGCCCCTTAAGACTGGTTTTGAGGTCCTTGTACTCTGTCCCCATCACTTTTTCCTGCCACCACACAGGCTTATTTTGTGCCTTGCCTTCAGCCATTCCCCACAAAGTCCTGAGGTTTTCTAGTATAGGGTGACATAGAACCAAGATCTAGCTGGACATGATTGGTCACATCTGTAACCCTAGCACTCTGAGAGGCTGAGGCAGGAAGATAACCTTGAAACCAGCCTGGGCAACCTAGGGACTTAGCAAAACCCTGCCTCAAAAAATAGATGTGGTGGTGCATGTCTGTAATCTCAGCACTTGGGAGGCTGAGGCAGGAAGATTGCTGGAAATTTAAGGTCAGCCTGAACTACACAGTAAAACCCTGTTCCAAAAAAACCCTTCTGGGGATGTATCTCAGAGGAAAGGCTCTGGGTTCTATCTCCATTACCACACACACAGAAAAGAAACCAAGACCTGAGTGAGTGGTTTTTTTTTTTACCAAGTAGACCAGGCTGACTTCGAATTCACAGCACTCCTCCTGCCTCAGCTTCCCAGGTGCCAGGATTGCAGGCGTTCACCACCTGGCCTGGCCATAGACATTTATATTTCTAGACTACATATTTAGAAACCATGGACTGTGATAATTTGCCATACATGAGGATTCTTTCTATCTTTCCCTCTTCCATGTTTGTAGCTTCCTTCTCAGACTAATCTGATTTTCATGCTCAGTACATTTATTTCCTCAGCTAGTTTCTTGGTCAATGTAAGGAGACCCTCACACATGATTTCCATTCCTATGGGTTCCTGCATGGGACTCTCTAGCCCTCATCTCCCTTCCGAGCTTTCGATGTAGATCTCCAACGGACACATTCTCGTAGGAACCTTTCAGAGGTTCTCGGAATTCATGATCTTCCTCACTCTCTGCCCCCTTAACCTGAATTTGTTCAGTATTCCCAGCTGGTAGCAAGAGCAATCCAGACGCTTAAGCCAGGCAATGTATCATTCCCCTCCTGCCCCACTCCATAGCCAATCAACCTCATTTTCTGTTTTTATGAGTTTTTTGTTTGGATTTTGTTTTTGGGTTTTTTTGTATTTAGTACAGGGTCTCACTACACAGATCAGACTTGTACTGATTCTCCTGTTTTCAGCCCTCCAAGTGCTGGCTGGGATCACAGATGCATGCCACCACACCCAGTCTCAATCACTGTCGCACTGTGCCCCAGGGGCAGAGCCGGCACAGTACGCCAGGGATCAAACCCCAGTCCCTGGGTCTATCTAAGCAGGCACTTTAGTCTGCTGAACTATCTGGCTGGCTTTATTTTTTTATTTTTTATTTTTTATTTTTTTTTGAGACAGGGTCTCATGTAGTTCAGGCTAGTCTTACACTTGCTATGTAGCCAAGGCTGGCCTCCAATTCACAGCAGTCCTCCTGCCTCAGCTTCCCAACTGCTAAAGACTTGGCCTCAAACTCACAGCAATCCTCCTGCCTCAGCTGACTGAGTGTGGGGATTACAGGTGACACCTAGCCTTCAAATCTTAGACTTCTAAATTCTTGGCCCTTGTCTTCCAGAATCTTTCACCCCGTGCATTTCTCCGTGGCCCTCCAGTCTTCCCTCGCTTTCCTCTGGAGTACAGCAGCAGATTCACACTGCAAGAGTCATCCCTCCTGCCATCTCTCTTACGGTGATTGCTGGCAGTACCAGGCACTGGATCCAGGGCCTTCACACTGAGCTACAGCCCCAGCTCTTTCTTTGTTGATTCACTTGTCTGTTTACAGACAGTGCCTCACTTTGTAGTCCAGGCTGGCCTCAAACTTGAGGCAGTCCTCCTATCTCTGCCTCCCCAGTGTGGGATTGCAGGTATGCACCACCACACCTGGATCTTTCTTATTTTGAGACAGGGTCTCTGAGTCACTATGTTGCTCATTCTAGGGTTGAATTTGTGATCCTCCTGCTTCAGCCTCCCAGCATGCTTGGAATACAGGCATGTGCCACCCCACCTGGTTCCCCAGTCCTTTTTTATATTTTGAGAGCAACTTGCTAACTTGCTTAGGCTAGGCTTGAATCTACACTCTTCCTGCCTCGACCTTCCAGAACACTGGAATCACAGGTGTACATCACTATGTCCAGCACCATACATGGCCAGGGATATAGCTTAGTGCACAAGGCCTGCCTGGTAAGCACGAAGTCCTCAGTTCAATTCCTGGTACAAAAAAAAGAAAAAGAAAAAGTATATATTATGACTAGCATCTTCTAGTTAAAAAGAAAAAACAAAACATAACCCCAAATCTCAGAAATTTAAAAAAAAAAAAAAAAAAAAAAAAAAAGACCTTCCTATTGCTCTTAGGATAAAATCCCAAGTCTTTGCCACAGTCCTGGCCCTGAGTTGGCAAAGGGCATCCATGACCCAGAGCCTGATTCTCCTCGACTCTGTGAGCTTTCGCAGCTCTAGATTCTTTGTATGGCTGTTCCTCAGGCTGGAGCGCACTTCCCCTCATTCTTCAGCCTCCACTTGGTGGGAAGCCCCAGGTACTGCTGGAAGCCCCCACAAGGCTAGCACTTGGGGACTGCAGGCAGGAAGAACACCACGAGGCAAGCCAGCCGGGCTGCATAGTAAGACCACATCTCAAAACAACAATAAAAACAAAAAGTCACACATGTGAGCCTTCTCATGTGGGCCCCAAAATGCTTATTCCATTCTGATGAACATCCGCTTTCTGAGACTGTAAGCTCCCCTGGAACGGCCCAGATCATTGCTATATTCTCAGACACCAGTTCAGAGGCTAGTACTGAATAGTAATGAAAGCTATTTGGACAAGAAAACACTTTCCTACAGAAAAGAACAAAGGATTAATTAAAAAAAAAAAAAAGCCAGAAGCATGGTACATTGCTTTAATTCCAGAGGTTTGGGAGGCTGAGGCTGGAGAATCCAAGTTAGAGGCCTTCCTGAGAAACTTAACAAACCCTTATCTAAGGGGGAAAAAAAAAGCAAGCCAAACCCAAGTGCCATTAGAAGTCACCGACATTATAATAGTATCCAGAGTAAACTAGTTAGCAAGTTCATTCAGGAAAGTAAGCACAAATGAACATACCCTACTAAATGGCAGCACACTAGATTCCTGGTAAGTGAGTGGAGCGCAGGTAAATTCGCCCTTTTTATTCTTTAATTTTATTTTTTTAATTTAGGGCAGGTGCTACAGGTGTACAGCGTCTCACCACCTAGATCGGACTCGTAGTGATTCTCCTGCTTTCAGCCTCCCAAATGCTGGGATTACAGGCACGCGCCACTATGCCCAGCCTCAATCGCTTTCCGGGCTGCTGAGCTTTGCCAGAAGCAGGAGTTTTAGTCCGCTGACGCCCTTTTTATTCTAAGCAGTGGAGGGCTTCAGCATTCTGCCCGGCCATGGCCCCGCCCCGGACAGCCCCGCCCCCAGCCCCGTGCTGTGTCTGGCCCCGCCCCCAGCCTGCCCGCCCGGGTCCTCCACGCCACGGGAGCGCTGCCTGCAACGTGAGATGTGGCCGCTAGGGGCCAGCCGCGCGGCTCGGGTCCGACCGCTCTGGGCCGCGCTCCTCGCTCGTCCTCCGGCTCAGCTCCGGCAGCCCGCGGCTTCTCTGCCCGCGCCCAGCGCCGACCCGCCGGGCTCCTGTGCAGGACCCAGCAGTTCGGCTCCCCCCGAGCCGGACCGAGGCCGCCAGCAGCGCCGCTGGGTGTGGAGCGGACCCAGGAGATGAAATGACAACGTCAACCCTCCAGGTACCTCAGCGCGGCCCGGAGGGCTGCGGAGGCCGAAAGCGGCGCGGTGGGGCCTGCGGGCCGCGGACCGGGCGGGCGGGCGGCCTCTTCGGACCTGGCCCCGTCGCCCGCCACCGTTTCTCCTTCCACGCACTCGCAGCAAGGGGGCGTCTCCATCCCGAGGCCGGCTGGCCGGGCCGGCGCTTCCCGGAGCCGCTGCGTGCAGCCAGCGCCGCCGATGCCCGACTGCAGCCCCTCCCCGGCCCGCAGCCTGCTCGCGTGGGGCTCCCTGGTGTCGCTCTCGCCCGCCACGACCTCCCCCAGCCCCGTGGCACCCCGCGGACGAGCCCCAGCTTGTCCCCGGCTCTGATTCCCTCTCCTCGGCCCGCGACCCTCCATTCATTCCCTGCCCCGTGCGGGGAGGTGCCCAGGGCGGCGCCGCCTGGACGGGTGACAGCCCGGCCCCCAGTGCTGTCAGAAAACATAAACACGCTCGGACCTGAGACCCGGCTCTGAACCCCATCCCTGCCACGCAGAGGGTGTGACCTGGGACCGTGTTTTTGACCTTAGAATCAGCTCGGCCTCAGCGGTAACATGGGGCAGCGGTTGTGTGGTTATGGGGTGGTTTAGGTACCAGCTGAGGTACCGCATTCTCAGTAAGTCGTGGCCGATGAAGTGCGCCCCTGGCGGGATGGCTTTCGGGTTCGGGCGTGGAAGAGGGATGGTCAGTCGCTCCAGGTGGAGAACAAGCGTGGAATAAATCGGGCTAGGAATTAGGTGGAATGCAAAGCCCGACCCCATCATCCACAAGCATAACCTCGGATCTGTTACCTCCGTGTCAGCCGATCTCAGCCTGCAGTAAGAATGGTTTCCTCGGGGCTTTCCCACCTGATTCTGAGGACGGAACCCAGGGCCTTTGCACCTAGCTACACCCGTGGCCCTACACCGTGGCCCTCTTCCTTCCTTTTCTTTATTTTTAGGCAGTATTTCACTAGTCTCTAAGTAGGCCAGGCTGGGCTGGAACTTTTATTCTCCTGACTCAGCCTCCCAGTGTGCTGGAATTATAGACAGGCACGACTACACCCACTTAAGTGTACCCTTGTTTTGGAGACAGGGTCTCACTGTGTAGTTTAAGCTAGCCTCAGACTCACAGTCCTCCTGACTCGGCCTCCCAAATGCTCAGATTACAGGCGTTCACCCACTTGAGGCAAACTTAAGGCTGCACAGAGTTGTGTAGCCATCACTACAGTTACTTTTTAGAACATTTTCATCACCTCCCCTAAAAACACCTTTGCCTTTTGCTGTCACTCCCCAATCCTTGATCCCTCCCAGCCCAAGGCAGCCACTAATCTATCTTCAAGCTCTTTAAATTTCCCTATTCTGAGCATTTTATGTAAATGGAATCATAATATGTGGTCCTTCGTGATTGGCTTCCTTAACATAATGTCATAGGCTTTCACTTTTTTTAAGTGGCTGGGAAAAAAGGCTTTCATGACACGTGAAAATTTGAAATTCAAATTTCAGTGCTTATAAATAAAGTTTTATTGAAATAAATCCCACTCATTCATTTGCATATTATCTGCTGCTTTTGTCCTACAAAGGCAGAATTGGATAGTTGCTAGAGAAATGGTACTGCCTGGCAAAACCTAAATATTTATGTAACATCTGGTTCTTTCTAGAAAAAAATCTGCCAGGCCCACTGTTAGTGTGCATGTACAAGTACTGGGAAGCAAATCCAGGGCCTTCATGCTTAGCTATAGCCCAGCACCACCCTTCTTTTAATCTTTAATTTTAAGGTAGGGCCTCACTGATCCCGAGTTGCCCAGGCCGGGCTTGCACTTGCAGTCCTCCTGCTTCAGCCTCCAAGAATGTCAGGATCACAGACATGCGCCACCGCACCTGACTCGCATATCTCTGTTACCCTTTTCACTTATGCCCATCCTTTGCCTTATGTGTTACTAGCAATGAGGCAGTGTGGCAGTTTTATCTGTCACCTTACCCTCCTGTTAAACCAAGCTGTTTCTCTCCACTAACAGTTCCCACATGTGAAAAACTGTATTGGTTGCTGGCTGCATGAATAGAGCGTTCAGAAGGAGGGACAGAAGAAGCCAGGCTTAGAAAGACATCTGTCACGTGTTCTTATGTGGGATCTAACAAAGAAGACATGAAAGTAGAAGGAAGACTGTTATTAGACAAAGCAAAGGGGTACTGTATGTGGGGGTTACAGGACACCAATGGGGTAACAGGATCACAGTATATGCAGTGAAGGCCAATATTTTGAAAAACTAATAGGTACTAATAATAAAAGAGGAAAAAAAGAAAAGAGGAGGTGGGTGTGCTCTGCTCCACAGAGGGAGCTCAAACCTCGAGTTTTATTCTGAGCCCTTACTGAGAAGAATAGACCCAAGCAAGAATCAGTATAGGAACCTGGGCGTAAGAGCTCAGTGCCTGTAATCCCAGGATTGGGAGGCTGAGGCAGGAGAGTCCCCAATTCAAACCCAGCCTGGGCTACATAGTGAGTGCAAAGCCAGAGTAGACTGTAGTACATAGTGAGACTATCTCACATAAACACACTGAAGGGACAGAACAGAGTGACAGTCCAAGGAAGTTGGGTGTGTGTTCTAAAGAAGGAAGCCACCCAGACAGGAGCACTGTCTTATCTGAGGGGCCAACAAGGAGAGAACAGACAGCCTGTGGGTGAGCTGATGAGCCAAGAAGCAGTAGGGCTCCCAGATGTCCTCCAGAGGGAGTGAAGCCCCAGGGAAGCAGCACTTCTTCCTCTCAGCAGTACTAGGGCTTGAACCCAGGTATGCTAGGCAAGTGGTAACTCAGCAGCAGCCCCAGTCCTTCTTCCTCTCTCTTGTCTCTGCAGTCTAGCAGTTCCCTTAACATCAGTCTGGCCTGTCTCACCAGCCTGTCCATTTTGCATGGCTGTGTGTCTCTCTTAGGCACTTCTTACCTATAGCAGGGCAAGGACTGCACAAATGCCCTGGCCCCGCTGAGGACTGGCTGGAGGGTTCTGTTTGCTGTGGCTGCAGCTGTGCCACAGCAGGTGGAGGAGGAAGATTTTGGTTGGATTGTGGTTTCTTTTCTTTGGCACTGGGAATCAAACTCAGGCTTGCCAGGCAGGCACTATGCCACTGAGCTAAATCCCTGGCCCTGGGCAGTGGTCTCTAAAACCGTATGTGGGGCCGGGGAGATGGCTCAGTAGGATAAGCGCTTGAATGGCAAACGCAAGGATCTGAGTTTAATCCCCGGTTCCGCCAAAAAAAAAAAAAAAAAAAAAAAAGTATGTGTAGGTGCTTCCTGTTCCACACAGGGCACTAGCCCACAGCATCTGTCAGAGTCTCGGAGGCCTGCACACTCCCTGGGAGTTCTTCAGGGCGCAGGGCCCTCACCTGGCAGCATGATTTGCCTCCAGAACGAGCAAGCACTGTCCTTTCTGCAGCCAGGTGTGGAGTCCTGTGGCTCAGCTCCTTCCAGGTGTCGGCTTTCAACAATGTAGGACAACAGCCTGCCCTTTTCAGTGGCAAGAAGCAAGTTGAGCTGGGGCCGTAGAAGGAACAGAGGTGCTGTAAGTCCACCTCTCTTTTGTGGTGCTGGAGATTGAATCCAGGGGTGCTCTAGCACTGAGCTGCTTTCTGGAACTTCATTTTACTCCTCTGGCTGATGCACTGGCAAGAGGGCTGCAGCTGTAACTCAGTGCAGAGCCTTACATTCAGTCCCCAGTATCATAAAAGCAAACAAGAAAGGCTGGTGGGCAGATGCCCATGTGGCTCTCATGTCACAGGCCTTGGGTTGATGAAGGACTTTCCCAGCTGGCTGACTCTTCTCTGCCCAAGGCCAGATGCATTCTCTGGCCTCTTTGCTGAGTGAAGCAGCAATCAGTTTTTTCGGAGTTTGCCATCACTGTTCTGGGCTCTCTTTCCCTTGAAGCAGTGAAGTAGAAAGTCCTGTGGATTCACCCAGGAGCCCAGACCCAGCACATGGAGTCAGGGTTCCACTGCTGGACTCCGGGGGCAAAGGCTGGAAGGAGGCTGCCTTGAACTGTCCGAGTTCCCTGTGGGGAGGGATGGCTGTCATAAAGCTTCCTCGTAAAGCCTTTCTAGTTGGTGTCCCAAAAGTAGGGCAATATAATGGCCTGCAACCAGTCAGGCCACAGGCCACAGGCCACAGGCCTGGCACTGTTTCTTGTCTCATCCTGTTGCTTGGGAGGCCCAGGTCTGTCTGGATCTCCTGGGAAGCACCGAGCTATCTGCCTTTCCTTTTCAGAAAGCCATTGATCTGGTGACTAAAGCCACGGAGGAGGACAAAGCCAAGAACTACGAGGAGGCACTGCGGCTGTACCAGCATGCTGTGGAATACTTCCTGCACGCCATCAAGTGTGAGTTGCGGCGGGTCACGGGTCCCCATGAGGAGAGTGCCCAGCCTCACTAGGCCACTCTGCCTCCTTTTTGCAGATGAGGCTCACAGTGACAAGGCCAAGGAGAGCATTCGAGCCAAGTGCGTGCAGTACCTAGACCGGGCAGAGAAGCTGAAGGATTACTTAAAAAACAAAGAGAAACACGGCAAAAAGCCAGTGAAGGAGAATCCGAGCGAGGGCAAGGGGTGAGTGTGGAGCACGCAGCTGGGCTCGGTACCCTCTTCACATGGTGCTGCTATTCCCCATGCCAGTCCTGCTTGGACTTGCATGGTAGTGGGAAACTATTCCTGACCATTGAGGTAGCAGTGGCTTTCCCTGGCACATCCTTGAGCGTGTCCGTGTCATCTCACTGGTCTGCACAGAAAAGCCTGGTGAGGGGTGACAGCCTTGGCCTCCTGCAGCCCTACTCTTAGGTTGGAACCTGGCTCTGCCACTGCCTTGCACATGAGGGAGGACCAGGGAACTCTGCCACGCACTGCAGTAAGGAGCAGAGGGGGTGAAGTGACAGCCTCAGAGGGAGTTTGGCACATGCTGCGCATTCATTAAACACAGAGGTATAGCCAGACACAGTGTGACTAGACCTCTTGCCCTGGCCTCAGACTCCACAGCCAGAGCCTCCATGCCTCTCAGCTCAGGCATGGGCTCTGCTCTGGTGCCCTGGAGGCCAGGGAGGGAGGGGATGGAGGAGACCTGAGAGGTGAGACTTCCTCCTGGGCCATGTGCCTGCAGCCTAATTCCCAGGTGAGAGATGTGCTGAGGAAGGGACAGAAGTTTTAGAACTTTTTTTTTGCCACGAGATTTGTTTTATTTTCATTTAACATACAAATAATTTTCTATAATATCCCAGGGCAAACCTGAGAATTTGGCAGTCCGGTTGGGGGGGGGGTGTCCCCTCAGAGACCCACGGGCTGGTGGCATCGGCGCGGAATGCCCGGGTTTACAGTGCAGCTTGCGGCTCGTGTCCATCTTGCAAGTGGCTCTTCCTCCACATCATGACTGGGGGGGGTCTCAGAGATGACGGGGGCGGGGAATTGTCTGGGCTCTTAGGAAATCTCACTCTGCTTTTCCTGCTCAATGGTCTCTTTGGTCGGCAGGGTGTTCTTCTCCTGTGTCTCCGTCTTCTTCAGCTTGGCCTTATCGAAGCTGGCGATTTCCCCCATGTCTGGTTTGTCTGCCATTTTCTTAAAACAATCCAAAGTGTTTCGCTCCAAGCCCGAGCTCCTGTGCTCCCACTCGCGTTGCTGCAGCAAGAGACCACTTTTTTTTTTTTTATACCAGGAATAAAACTCATGGCCTCGCACTTGCCAGGCAGGCAGTGTGCCGCTGAACTGGAGTATTCTCATCCCTCAGAGAATTTTGAAGCAACAAATATCCTGAAGTCAGGATACAAAGTGACTGTTGGGATCAGAGCATGTTTGAACCAAGGGCCTCATGCACACTGGGAACCAAATGCAGTGCTAAGCAAACTAAGGACGAGCTCTAAGCACTGAGCTGCATCACTAACATTTTTAATTGGTCATTTTAGGCAGAGTCAAAACTGCCCAGGTTGGCTTGAAGTTTAGAATTCTCCTGAATAGTTGGAATTACAGGCCTGCCCCTACCCCTAGCTTCCCCTTTAGTGCTATTATGTGTACACGAGTGTGCCTGGTACTAGGGATTGAACCCAGGGTCTTTAACTGAGTTACCTTTCAGTCCTAAGACAGGTTCTCACTGAGTTGTCCAGACTGAGTTCAAACTTGAGATCCTCCTACCTCAGCCTCCTGGAGTGCTAGGATTGTAGATGTGCTCAGCTTTCCATGTTTCATTTCAAACTTTACCTCTTCTCTGTCCTTCAGACTCCTCTGGGGTCACGGCCATGTGCTATCTGTATCTGAGTCCATACAAAAGGTTCCTTATGGCTACATTTGCTTGACTGGCTGCTAATGAAATCTAGCTGAAGTACATTTTCTCCTCCAGCCCTCAGGAGAGGGTGGACCTCCCAACCTGGATTCCCTTAATGAAAAAATCATGATGTCCCTGTGACCATGTCAGCCAGACGAGTGTGGCCCTGACACCCACAGGCCTGGCCTGCTCACCTGTCCCTTGACAGAGCTGAGCTGGGAGCATTCCTCACCCAGTGCTGGCAGCAGACCCAGCCCCACTCATAGCCTTATGGCTCTAAGCTGAGAACTAGCTGGTGAGCTTCTGTTTCCTTTCTCAGCAGCGACAGTGACAGCGAAGGGGATAATCCAGAGAAGAAGAAGCTGCAGGAGCAATTGATGGGTAAGAGGCCCGGGGCCACATGCCCTGCAAGGGACTGTGGGGCCCTGTGCGTCGACTCCTGCCTATGTCAGCACCTCCTGCTGCAGGTGCTGTTGTGATGGAGAAGCCCAACATACGGTGGAATGACGTGGCCGGGCTAGAGGGGGCCAAGGAGGCCCTCAAAGAAGCTGTCATTTTGCCAATCAAATTCCCACACTTGTTCACAGGTAAGAGCTGAGCCACCAGAGGTACAGATGTAAACTCAGGCTCCTGTGGGAGTCAGGATGGGGTCCCCTCTGAAGTGTCCAAAGCAGATGGCTTTGGCAATCTTGGCACACAGGGAATGGTGCCTGGCCTCGCATGTGTGCTGTTGGGAGAGGCCCTGGGACCCACTCCCCGTGTCACCTATGCCTCAGCTTCTTGGTGTTGTCAGAAATATTTATGAGCTGGAAGGTAGCTCAGTTGTAGAGCACTTGCCTGGCATGCACAAGGCACGGAGTTCAATCCCCAGCCCTGAAAAGGAAAAAACACATTTTTGTGACTAGAATTTTGAGGTGAGCATTCTAGAGGGTGGACACAGTGGTTCCCAAGGGTTAGGACTGTTATCCCAGTGGGTTCATAGGCCTTTCTGCCTTCGCTCCCCAATCAGCCACGTTACAGAGCATTTGTTGCTATAGTTGCAGTGAATGAAGACCTCCCACCCTTTCCCCAGTCAGGAGACGGCTGACGGGTTTATTTTTTTGTTGCAGGCAAGCGTACCCCTTGGCGAGGGATACTGCTCTTCGGACCCCCTGGCACAGGGAAATCCTATCTGGCCAAAGCTGTGGCAACAGAGGCCAACAACTCTACCTTCTTCTCTGTGTCCTCCTCTGATCTGATGTCTAAGTGGTTGGGGGAGAGTGAGAAGTAAGTTAGCCAGCTGGGGTGGCCACTTCCCAGAGGCGTGGGGATAGTAGCAAGGAGAGTGAGATTTGGCCAGCGTTTTGGTTGGGGTCCTGTCCTGGTGGACTGGTGAACCTGGAAAGGGACCCCGGGAGAGATGAAGTCATCATAAGCAAGTGAAAGATCCACCGTAGCAGGATCTGCCCAGTCTCCTACTAGGGCACTGGGTGTATTTTACCCGTTCCCCACACTGGTTCCCACTTGCACATGAGGAAAGGGAGGCTCAGAGGAAAGGAGATGCCCAGTCCTGAGTCCAGAGCTGAGTATCTACACAGTATCAGGCACGCCCTTCCCCTTGGTCTGGAAGATCTGTCGCCACTGTTTTTCCTGTGAGAAGGGCAGGAAAAGTGGTGACTAGACTCAGCACACCTGTACAGGCGCAACTAGACTCTAAGCCACTGTTCCCCCCTAGGCTCGTGAAGAACCTCTTCGAGTTGGCCAGGCAGCACAAGCCCTCCATCATCTTCATTGATGAGGTAGACTCCCTCTGTGGGTCCCGGAATGAGAACGAGAGCGAGGCTGCCCGGAGGATCAAAACAGAGTTCCTGGTCCAGATGCAAGGTGCGTCCCAGTCCTGGGTCCCCTCTTGGTTGTGGCTCTGCCCAGAGCCAAGCTCCAGTGTCATTGTTTCTCTGGCCTGGTTGGGTAGAGGAAAAGCACCTGGAGGTACTGGCTACAGGTCTCAGGCAGGCTTTCACCACAGGGCAGAGAGCTTTGTGGGGTCTTCCTAGCCACAGCCAGACTGGCCGCATTTCAGTCAGGACTCTGATAGTGGTGTCACAGGGATGGCCTCAGGCAACAACACACAAGGTCTCAGGGTCTGACCAGCAGGTTCTGACTGACCCTACAGCTGCCCTCAGTCTATCTCCTTTCTCCACAGGAGTGGGGAACAACAACGATGGGACTCTGGTTCTTGGTACCACAAACATCCCCTGGGTGCTGGACTCTGCCATTAGGAGGAGGTGAGTCCTCCCTGCAGGGCGGTGCTGCACTCTCCCTGCCCTGGGCAGCCTGCAGGTAGACCTCGCCCATCTCTGTCTTGCTTGAGTTTGTGCAGTGAACAGAGCCCTCAGTGAAGCCAGTTTCGTCAGGGCCCAGAACTGTATCTCCCAGTCTCTGGGCTGCCCCTGCATTAACACTATTCAGTGATTTGCCCCTTTCCTGTGCATGCTCTGCCCTCTAGGTTTGAAAAGCGCATTTATATCCCATTGCCTGAGGAAGCCGCCCGCGCCCAGATGTTCCGGTTGCATCTGGGGAGCACTCCACACAACCTCACAGATGCCAACATCCACGAGCTGGCCCGGAAGACAGAAGGCTACTCGGGTGCAGACATCAGCATCATTGTGCGGGACTCTCTCATGCAGCCCGTCAGAAAAGTCCAGTCAGCAACGCACTTTAAGAAGGTGAGTGGTGCTGGGCATGGTGGTGCACACCTATAAGGAGGCTGAGGCCAGGGGATTGCAAAGTTCAAGCCCAGCCTGGGCAATTTAGTGACTTTGCAAGGCCTTGTCTCAAAAACAAACAAAAGGGGGCCTGCCCCTTAGCTCAGTTCTTTAAGTGGCTGCTTCAACAAAGCGGACTGTGGTTCGATCCCCACTATTCAAGCCAGCCAGTCATGCCTTGAAGGCATTCGGAGCAAAAAAAAAAAAACACTTAAAAAACAAACAAAAAAAAAGGTGCTGGGGATGTAACTCAGCATTAAGATCCTGGGCTCCCAGCACCCCCCACCCCCAGGCCCCTCAGCAACGGAGGTGAGTGGTGAACAAAGCTTAGACAGTGTCAGTAGAATGAGGGGTCATCAGGCTTCCTGGAACCACAGGAACACACTCTGTCTCCTGGAGAAGCAGGGCAGAAGCCAGGGCCAGGGTGGACCTGCCCTGCCTCTTCTGCAGCTCTTCCTCGCATGTGGCTGTCTCCAGTTGTGAGAGGGCAGAGGACAGCAGCAGGCTCATGGCTCTGTAGCCTGAACGCCACTTTGCCTGTGGGCAGAGTGCACACTGAGAAAATGCCTGAAAAGTGCAGGTCTAAAGGAGGGATTCACCAAGCGTGATGGCACACACCTACAATACCAGCAAGTACAAGGCTGAGGCAGGAGGACCGCTGTGAGTTTGAGGCCACCCTGGGCTACCTAGTGAGTTCAAGGCCAGCCTGAACTGCATTATGAAACCGTTGTCTCAAAAAAACCTAAATAAAGTGGGATTTACCCACTTGTCAGGAGATCTCTTATCTAGTATCTCCTGTGGGTCTATGTCCTGGCATTGTCACAGGCACTGGGGAGACATTAGTGACCACAGCAGAAAACACCTCTTTCTTCCAGGAGCCTCCTTCAAGTAGAGCAAGACAGCTCCTCAGAGGATGATGATGGGGCCTAGCAGCGTCGGGGAGAGCAGGGGCTCCAGGGGTTCAGAGGGCTAAACAGGTTGCACTGTTAAAAAGGACAGCCCAGGGTCGGGGAGATAGCTCAGTAGAGTAAGTGCTTGCCTCACAAGCACAAGGTCCTGAGTTCAACCCCCGGGACCACCAAAACAAAACAAAAAAAGGACAGCCCATATTCTATGCTGTGGCATGTGAGCCACAAACCGGAGGGAGTGAGGGAAGGGGCTGTTTTGCCAGTCTTGCAGATTTTGCAGGGGAAAACCATATTGCTAGTAAGACGTGGTGTCAGCCAGGTGTGGTGGTGCACGCATGTAATTCCAGCACTTGGGAGGCAGAGACAGGAGCATGGTTGCAAGTTTGAGACCAGCCTGGGCTACCCAGTGAGCTCAAGGCCAGCCTGAACTGTAAAACAAGACCCTGTCTGAAAAAGACAAAAAAGACTCAGTGGTGTTACTGAGGAAGGTGAGAAGTAGACATCCTGGAGACCAATCTGAGGTCAGTCCTCCTCGCTCCAAGGATAGCCCTGCCAGCCTGTCACACTCCTGCTTGGTTTCAGGTCTGTGGCCCTTCCCGCACCAACCCTAGCATTATGATTGATGACCTCCTGACTCCATGCTCGCCAGGGGACCCAGGGGCCATAGAGATGACCTGGATGGACGTCCCTGGTGATAAACTCTTAGAGCCTGTGGTTTGCATGGTACGTAACCAGCTGGGAGGCTGGACCTTGGAGCCAAGAAAATGGGGTGGGGCCTAGTTGAGGAATAAAACTTGAATTGCCCCCTTTTTTGTCTTGGGCTCTCATGACTCCCGTGAGAGTGGCCGAGACTCCTGCCAGTACACAAGCAGTAGCATTTGCATCATCCATTCTTCAGCAGAAGAGTGAAGTCCACAAAATAAGACTGTCATTCTTAGGGTTTGGCTTATTCACTCCAGAGGGGTAGAGTTATGTCAGTATGGCCAGCTTTGATGCAGGGTGAAAACAGCCTCCTGGTCAATATATGGAACCTCATTTGTAGTCTCACCCGTGGCAGTGCTTACCCAGGATGGCAGGTGTCTGTGTGGGGCCGTTAGGTGGGTGCATAGGTAAAGAGGCCCCAGGCGGGAGTTGGGAGTGGGTTGAGGCCGGAAGGCAGCGTTCTGGAAGTGATCCGTGATCCGTACGGTCTCTGGAAGGTCCCTGCCGCAGGTGGTTCAGCAGGCTGCTAGGGGCATTCCACAGTGGGTGGGGGGTGATTCTGGAGGCAGGCTTCTGCCACCTGAGTGGCAGAGCACTTCAAGGGGGAAGATAGACCTGGCTGGGCTAGTTCTCATTGCCATGCTCTTGCCTTTGCAGTCTGACATGCTCCGGTCTTTGGCTACCACCCGGCCCACGGTGAATGCAGAGGACCTCCTGAAAGTGAAGAAATTCTCAGAGGACTTTGGACAGGAGAGTTAAAAGCTGCTGCACTTAGGCAATGGTGAAGGTGGGAAGTAGGCTGGGGCAAATCCACAATACTCCCTAAACCAGTGGCCAGACAGGGCTCCAGGGTGCGCTGTAGTCACTACGGCTCCTCTGCTGCCCATGGCCAGCCAGGGAGCAGGAAGAAGGCCCTCCATCACTGACCCACCGCCACAGATCCACGCTGGGTAGACACTGGCTGCCCTACTTCTCTCTCCTGGATGCTTACTGACTCCTTCCTGCCCCTCTGTCTTTTTTTTTTTTTAACTGTTTTGATCCCCTAAATTAATGCTGCTTTGATTTCTGTCTTGTTTATAAATAAAATCACCTGGAAGTGTCATGGGCAGGAGCAGCCAGGCCCAGCCCCTGCTCCCTTTCCTCCCAACTTCGGCCCCGTGAGAACAGACTGATGGAAGTAAGGAAGCCATTCCCACCCTGCGGGTGTGCGTCCAGGGCCCACGTCCTCCCTGCCGGCAGAGACAGTTTCTGTGAGCACAAGGCTGCTTTGATCTAAGGCAGGCAGGTGGTCTTCACTGCTGCCTTTTCTTCCTGGGTGTGAGAACTCTGAGCCCAGCCACTGCCCCTGGGGCCTCGTCCTGGAGATGTCTAATAAATCCTTTCCCTTCCTGAACAACTGACCTCATTCTGACTCTTGTCTGGGCCTCTTTGAAGACCACTCTTGCTTCCACTGAGAAGACCCTCTGCTGTTCTCTGTAGCAGAGTAGGCAGTCAGCAGTGCTCGCCCCTGCTGCTCTCTTGGCCTGCCCTGCCCTGTCAGTTCCCTGGTAGAAATTTAGCTGGAGATGTTGAAAAGAACTGGACAGCTCTTGCTACCATTTCATGCCTAGCCCAGATATTGCCAACAGGGAGTCTGATGGGCCAGATGTGGCCTGTAGGTGGCATATTGCCACATTAAAGTCCAGAGCTGAAGTAAAAATACAGATTTCTGACTTCTGGTTAGTTAATACCAGGTGCACGTCCCTATGAGGCAGCCACTACTGCTAAGCAGGGGCCACCCTGTTTAGAAGTGGACACCCGACCTTACTCAGTGACATCTTCCAGGCAACCACTGGAAGCAGTGACCCCTGATAAAACACCAAGCTCCAGAGCTGGCAGCTCCAGAAAGGCCATGTGCTAAGTGGATGAGACACAACAGCATGTTCGTCGTATGCACATAGAAAGGCCTAGCATAGGAAACGAAGTTTGAGGCTGGGCCAAGGCTAGTGCACCCCTCTCCCCCACCAAAACCATTATTGTTCCTCTATTGTATTGGTGCTGGGGACCGAACCCAGGTGCTCACGAATGCTAAGTACCGCTCTACCAGAGTGCTGTACTCTTAGCCCCAGTTCTCTCTTTACAAATTGAACAGGCCAGACCTGATCCAGTGGCCAACTGCAGATCATGTTGGCTTTGCACTATGGTTTCCTTGTTCTAGTTAGAAACAGCTGCTGATGTGAACTTCTGATTAACAGCTGAAAGGCTGGGCTCTACCAGGGGTGGTGGCACATGCCTGTGATCCTAGCACCCGAGAGGCAGAGACAGAGTGAGTTCAAGGCCAGGCTGAGCTACAGTGAGTTCTAAGCCTGAACTGCATAGGGAGACCCTGTTTTAAAAAAAAAAAAAATTGAAAAATTTGGGCTCTAAGACTATTTCCCAGTGCTAGCAGACTTGCTTGCTTCTGCCAAGAGCCCTCCACCTTTTGAGTCATCACAGCAGACTTGACCTCTAGCTGACATTTCTGCAGCAGCATTGCTAGTCTTTCACTTCTCTCACATTTCTTAATTATATGCTCTCAGTCCCAGTTTGCAAGTTCAGGAATAAAAGGTGATCCCCTGTGTGGGCAGCTTCACCTAGTGGTGTTTTATACATTTTACCCCAATTCCTTCAGTGTGGTCTCCCCCAAACCTTCCTGCATAAGCACCTTGCTCTCACAGGGGTGACTGGTAGAAACTTGGGGTCTTTGTTTGTCCTCTTGGCTCTAGATGAGCTCACAAACACCTGCCTTTCCATTTTTCTCTCATCAGTAGCAGGAACCACTACCAAGGCTGAACAACCCTGGGATGGAAGCTGAGGGCTTGGGCTGCCAAGCACATGACCCAACACTGTTAAACCTACTAATACAGGCAGAGGAAGATCCTCCTTTACATACATTCTCTGCAAGTCACTTCTTTACCAGGGCTCTTCTGAACTTCTGCCTGCATTGGCTTTCACTGTGGAAGTGGATTTCTGAAACTCTCCATTAGCTCCACGTGTGGCTTTTGTGGTTGGGTAAGTACTGTATCTGCCTTGGGTGGAAGAGACCTTCCTTCCTTACTGGAAATGCAAGGATTTGTTGCTGTTCATACCACCACAAAGGCTCCCTAAGGGGGCCTGTGAAGATTATCGGGAAGCATCAGAATGTGGGAAGCCAAAGAGCTTGGGAACACCAAGTGGGAGGAGGCTCAACCAACCCCTCATAAAGACCATCTTTCAGCATAAAGTTTTCTACAAACTACCTGAGGGCCGCATCTCCAACTCCTCCAGACTCCAACTGGAACTGGAACTACAATGGGTTCTGCTTGCCCATGTGGGCTCAGAGAAAGCCACAGAGAATGGGTTCTTCCCCAGGCTAAACACCTCTCTGAGCAGTGTAATGGACTTCTTAGCGCGTGTGTATGTGATTCAGGGGATTCTGTTCTGCAGGCACAGCTGCTTCAGCAGCTGCAGCTGCGGCTCAGTAGCGTGTACTTAGCATACAGAAGACTGAAGGCTCCGTGCCCAGCACCAAAACATGAAAAACTGCTTCTCAGACCTCCACATAAAGATGGGGTGAGACTTCCTTAAAGCCAAACACTGTTCACTGTGATGCTTTCAAATACCTACAGTGACCAGTAAGCACCCTTCTAGCTCTCTCCTGTGAAAGGAAGAGGCTCATTGCTCTCTAGTAGTTGGCACCTTGCCCCTGCTCCATGGCCTCTGCCTAAGGAAAGAGTCAAGTACCAGCCACCCAAGAGATCTCCATCTTTCCCAAATCTGGAACTGTCTCTGAGCCTGTTAAACCATGTGAGTACTTATTTACATTAATGCTGTTATTAAATACTTCAACTGGGACCACCTTGTCCCGCGTTATTACTTTTACAAGCAACTGGTACCAATGACTTTAAGGTCAGACACACGACAGGCCCTTCGTAAAAAGAACTCAGTGGACAATCCCAGCCTCGCCTACATTTTTAAACAAAGCTTTCAGATACTTGGGGCCTGTATTACCATCAGTTGTGGCCCTGGCACCAGATCACACAGGTATTGTAAGATTATTCGTAATGAGAATGGTTATTTCCATGTCCCACTTCTCTCCATGAAGAACTGTCCAGAAATATCACTTCTTTAGGGAGTTTTCAAGTTGTAGGCAGTATTTTGTGCAGAGCTGATTCCATGTGTTAGCAAGTTACTGTTTCCAGCCAAATCAGGGCCAACACCAGGTTGAAGCCACGACATGCCCAGCTCAAACTGAAGTATTTGCACCTTGGTTTCCCAGAGCCTGGGCCCCAGAAGGAAAGCATCAGTCGTTCACCTCCATCCAGTGGATGTTTGTGAATGTTTTGGGGTCCATTTTGTCAATGAACAGGCAGCCCTGCAAGTGGTCCATCTCGTGCTGGATGATGCGGGCGGTCCAGCCACTTGCCTGCCACACCACCTGTTCTCCTTTGGGGTTCAGCCCTGCAAAGAGAGTTCCAAACTGACTGAGGTGGGCCATACTGAACTGCATCTTTCCCAAGCTCTTTGCCCTGTGTCCTGTCTTGGCCATTTCTATTTACAGGGGGCAACAGCAGAAAGGTAATATATTAATTGGGCACAGTGATGCATCCCTGTAATCCCAGCACTGGGAAGCTCAGCCAGGACGATCTCAAATTCAGGCCCAGCCTAGGGAACTTAACTCATCATGTACCTGTCTCAAAATTTTTGAAAAAAGCCAAAGACCTAAGGAAGTAGCTTAGTGCAAAGGCCCAAGCTTTAATTCCCAATACCCCTCCAAAGTTTATATATCTATGTATAACAGAGAACAGCCCTTGGGCTGGGGTACAATTCAGTGGTACAGTGGAATACCGCATGTCTAGATGCGCCAGGCCCTGCGTTCAGGCCTGGTGGTTTTCGGCACCAAAGAAAAAACCTTAATCTGCCCACTCCCGATCATTCAACCTGGTTCTCAACTTTCACAGGTTGGTGGGCTCTCAATGAGGTGGGGATGAGCAATTCTGCTAAGATGCCTTCCTCTGAACACTTCCCACTTCACAAGAACTGCTTCACTTTTGTACAAACTGAAAGCACAACAGGAAAAGAAAAAACTGAGGGACATCATTTCAACCAGCTAGCCTGCTCAAGAGGAACAAGTATCCCAAACCCAGCAGGACTGTAATCCACAAAATACCTGTGGTATCACAGGCATGCAACACATCTACCAGAGTTGGGTCCCATTTCTACAACCTCACTGTGACTGATTTACTGGAGAAAGGGGTTAAGGAGGGGGCAGCAGAGGGAGAAGGCCACAACCAGGTGGTGTGGCATGGCGCACACCTGCAAGGTCAGCACTGTGGGAGGCTGAGGAAGATCCCAAGTTTGAGTCCACCCTGGGCAACTTAGCAAGGCCCTGCCTCAAAATTAAAAGTAAAAAGGTTGCACTAGGGAGGCTTAGGTAGGTGATCGATGCGAGTTCAAAGCTGGCCTTCACTACATAGCGAGACTGTCTCAAAGCACAAAAAGGCTGGGGCTTAATAAAAAGGTTCTGGGTTCAAGCCCCAATAGCAGGGGGGGGGGAATCAAAGGCTCAGTGGGGACTGAGAGCGCAATCAGGGAACCTCCCAACCCTCACTTCACCTCGCCAGCCCGTGTCCCCAGCCCTTCGGAGCCTCCATTCCCACTAGCCCAGTGCTCTTTAGTCCCACATTCCTGCGGGAGCTCTACGGCAACCGTTTTATGGGTTCTCAGTTAGAATATCGGTCCAGCCTAACTGCAGCCCGCACCTGAGATCTGCACGGCCTGGAAGCGGGGCACGTAGGCCAGGAAGCCGGAGACGCTCTCGCAGCCCTCCGGGAAGGTGACGAGGCTGCTGTCAAGCACACGCAGAGTAGGGTTGACGAACACTCGCAGAGGGAAGGGCTGCATCTGGCGGAGTTCGCGCAGGCGTGGCGCACAGGCGCGGTAGAGCTCCTCGGGCAGCTCCAGCGCCAGCACCTGCAGCGGCACCCCCAGCTGCGGCGCGCTCAGGCCCACGCAGCGCCGGCGCCGCATCACCTGCACCAGCCGCTGCACCAGCCGCTGCAGCTCGGGCCCCTCCAGCTGCGCTGGCTCCACCGGGGCCGCCACGGCCCGTAGCACCGGGTCCCCGACCTGGCACACGTGCGCGTAGGGCGGCCGCGGCGCTCCCTGCACCAGGCGCCTCACGTAGCGCCAGTAGGAGCGCGGGCGGCCTGGTCCTTCCAGGCTGCCCGCAGCCGCGTTGGAGCTACAGGCCCGAGCGCCACCCACACGCGCCCGCAGCACGAGCGCCCGCAGCAGCCCGCCCCACGGCCGAGCCATGGCGAGCTACGAGCCCGGAGCCCCGCCCCTTCCTCTCCCGCCCCTTCCTCCGCCGCCCGGACCCGGAAACACGCTCCTGCTCGCTTTCCGGAACATTAATTAGCTTTATTACCATTCCGGCCTGGTACAGGAGTAACCCGCGACATCAAGTTCTCAATGTCCCTCGAACCTGTCCTGGGCGAGGCTGGTAGCTGCTACCCAACCTGCGCGGGACGAGGCCCCGCACCGCGTAGGCCCAACGCCAGCTACGGCGCCCCAAGGGTCCGCGGGGCCCGCGGCTCCCCCTCCCCCAGCTCTGCCCCTGTCGGCTCCTGGGGCAGCTCTGAGGGCTCCCGGGGCAGCTCTGCGGGCTCCCGGGGCAGCTCTGCGGACTCCCGGGGCAGCGGCTCCCGGGGCAGCTCTACGGGCTCCCGGGGCAGCGGCTCCCGGGGCAGCTCTGCGGGGTCCGTCTCCCGTCCGCCTGAAGGACTGGCGGCAACTGGCGGCTCCAGGCCGGGCTGCTCCGCAGACAGCTTTGGTGCTGGCCCCATGAACTCTGGCATTACCTCCTGGTCATCTAGAGAGAAGACCACCTCTCTCTTAGGCAGGATGAAGGCAAGAGGCTCCTGGACAATAGCAATGTTCACATGCCCAAGGTTTCCGTACTTGGCAAGCTGAGTGGGTGGAATGCCTGACCGGGCGGGGAAAGAGAAATGGAAAAACGTTATTAATAAAAGTCAATACAGATGTCACTCACACAGAGGAAGGAACAATTATATAACGATGTGGTAAATGCTTGGAATGCCAACATTTTGAGAGGCTGAGGCAGGAGGCTCACAAGTTCAAGTCCCACTTGGGCAACTTAGCAAGACTCAGTCTTAAAATTTAATAAAGGAGGGGGACTACAGATGTAGCTCAAGGGTAGAGTACCCTGGGTTGAATCCCCACTGCCAAAGTGTGAAAAAGTTATAAAGTTGGACAGTGGTAATGGTTGCACACCTCCACATTTACCAAAAACTATGAAAATGGGTGCATTATTTACTTACGTGAATTACATACAGCAGCTTAAAAAATCTCTTACCTAAAGTCTGCGCTATCTGAGCTGGTGGGAAAAGGACTTGAAGACAGCGGTTTAAATACGGAACAAGGTCTTCCAGGAAGACCATGCAGAACTGGAGGAAGAGCTCTTGCTCCCCACTACTGAAGGCGGCCTCTTCTGCGCGATGAAAAGCCAGGATTATTTTGGTTACCTAAGAGACAAGAACACCATGAACCACGGCTGGGGCTGCAGCTCAGTGATGGAGCGCTAACTTGGATGCACAAGACGTTAGGTTCCACCCCCAGCTGTGCAGGGAATAGTGCTGCGGGGGCATCACATGAAATGAGCACAACGGGCAGCCCTCAAGAAAGTCCTTCCGCCATTCCCAACAGTACCTTAGTATTTTGCTTAAACCTAGCATTGGTCAATTTTTACAATTCTGTCACTTCCATGATGCAGTTTTTTTTTTTTTTTTTTTTTGAGGGTTTTTTTTTGTCTGTTTTGAGACAGGATTTCACTATGCAGTTCAGGTTGGCTTGAACTCTTTGTAGCCCAGGCTGGCCTTGAATTCACAGTGATCCTCCTGCCTCAGCCTCACGAGTATGTGCGCCATGATGCCTGACTCCATTATGATGCAGTTCTTTTCCTTTTTTTGGTACTGGAAATCAAACTCACAACCTTGTACTTGCCAGGCAAGTGCCGTGTTGCTGAGCTACATCCCCAGCCCCACCGTGCTGTACTTCTGACCCAACCTGACTCACTGCTAACAGTTTCTAGTTATTTTTATTTTATTTTTTTTAATGTGTTTGGTACAGGGTCTCACTACACAGCTAGGACTCGCAGTGATCCTCCTATTTTCAGCCTCCCCAGCGCTGGGCAGCTGGAGTGGCATGTGGTGCCAGGGATTGAACCCCTGGCCCCTGCATCTGCCTAAGCAGATGCTTTAATCTGCTGTTTCCAGTTCTAATGGAGAAGCATCATCAAATTGTTTGGAGAGCCAGGAGTGATGGTGCATGCATACAATCCCAGCACCTGGGAGGCAGAGGCAGAAGGATCATTGGGAGTTTGAGACCAGCCTGGCCTACATTGGCCAAAAAAAAGAGAGAATTTGAGGAATATAGAAATATAGAGGGGCTGGTGAGATGGCTCAGTGGTCTAAAGCACCTACTTGGAACAAGCTTAGTAAACCACAGGGACCACGGTTCAATCCCCCAGCACCACATGCCAGCCCGCCCCGCCCCCTGGTGGGCTGAGCTGGCCACACACACACAGACACACACACATAATAAATAAATAAATGTAAAAAAAAAAAATTAAAAAAAAAATATATATAGATATGAGACAAAAGGCTAATGTCCCAAGGGAGCAGGGAACAACAGACAGAGCCCAAGGAGAGCTGCTGTCTGTCACTTGTAAATTCCGGAAAGCTGGGACCCAAGGCTGCAGATAACAGCTTCTCCTGCAGGCGCTCTGTTCTTTGATCCCTTGCTTGGGATGTTATCAGCTAGCATCTGTGTGGACCTAGTGTTAGGCAAATGGTGGAAGTCAGAGTATTTTGTGTTCACTTATGTAATTATGCACATTCTTTAGCCTCCCTTTATCCCTCAATAAATGTGAGATGCTTCTGAGGCTCTGGGCTCACTTGGAGAGAGACGAATCTCAGTGAGACCTCTGAAGCTATCTATATTCATCGGGTCTTCTTGTCATTTCTTTTGGCACTGACTCATAACAGGAGAACGCCTGGGTTTTGATGCCTGCGGGGGATGGACCAGGTCTGTGATAGATGCAAAATATGAAGCACCTGACGAGATGAAGAACATCCTGGGCAGGTGTGACTCAACCGAGCCTTCAGAAAAGAGTACACAGAAGAGACTCAACTGGGAGAGATGCTCTCCAACAGGAAGAAACGGCCATGCTGCAGCTGCCTACGGAGGGGATGCCTCTGGGAGTGGACCTCCGCAGTGCAGGAACGAAACCTGAGCCAGGGAGATAGCTCAGTGGCATAAGCATAGGTTTTGAGTTCGACCCCAGTACCAAGAAAAAAAGAACGAAACTTGTCAACCAGAGGAAGCCTGAAAGGGACCCAAGCTCCAGACAACACCACAGCCCATTGCACCCTCACGAGACCTGAGCAAGCCCCCGGGGATGCTGCACCCGGCAATAACCTACTGCTTAAAAGCTGCTGCATTTGTGGGGATTTGAGAACATAAACACACTGCTGAATCAGCATAAGTGAGCTACTAAAGATTCATCAAGGTCCCATCAAGGGAAACTAATCAGAACTTCCCAATGGAAAAACCTCTGCAACCACATACCTCTCCCTGTCAGCAAGTCCACTGTCCCAAGGACCGGTTTCAGACAAAAGCCTGGCTGCTGTTCACGGAGGGGGCCAGAGTAGTAGGAAGCCAATGAATGCTCTCACCTGGGCAAGGGCATCCTCCAGGGTCCTTGTCACACTCTGTGCCAGGGCCACAGGGCAGCAGAGACGCAGCTCGTTGAAAGCGACCAGAATACTGTTAAGAAAGCAGGCCAGGGGCGGGAAGTCTAAGAGTACCATGGGTGGCTGCAGCGTGCCTGGCGGAGTGGCTGGCACAGCAGCAGGCACAGTACTGCTGCCCAGAATGGCTGGAGCAGAGATGAGCGTGTATGAGTTCATTTCATCCTGGAACTTCTCCACTGCCTCCTGAATTGCTTTCTGAAAAGTGGCCATGGCCACCCGCTGGAAAACAGGAGCTAACTGTCCTCGGAAATCGGCCCCCACACGGCTGAAGGACAGCCCAAAGTACATACACTGGCCCAGCAGAGAGTCCAGGCGGCCGCCCACTCCCCGGAAGAGGTCGGCCTCCAGCGCCTGCAGGAACTGGGAGACCTTCTGCAGCACCCAGCCGTGGAAGATGGCGCCCTCATTCACGGGGGGCCCACCAACGGCCGGGGGCAGCAAAGGGTCCTCGTCAGAAAAGATGGCGCGGTACTGTGTGATGATATCGAACAAGTGGACACGGCAGGCCTCGATGGTTTTTGTGATGTGGAAGTAGGGATCGTCACTGGGGATGGCAGTCAGGATGGAGCGGAGCCAGGCGTCGCGGGCCTGAAGAAACTTCACCCTCAGCTCAGCCTCCGTGAAGATGTCCATGCGCCGCAGGTAGCCAATGACACGGAGGCAGGCGGGGAGCTGGATGCTGCTCCTCAGCTGCTGGATCAGCTGGCTCAGCATCAGCTGCATGGACTGGCGCACCTCGTTCACAATGCCCTGAGGATTGGGGAATGCGTCATTAACCCTGATCCTGGGCTACCAACAGCCCATGACTTCCTCACCTGGAAAATGGACCTTGGGGCTGGGGAGATCTCAGTAGAATAAGTGCTTGCCTGACAAGCACAAGGTCCTGAGTTCAATCCCTGGTTCCGCCAAAAAAAAAAAAAAAAAAAAAAAAAAAATGGACCTGATGCGTAACGCTCTTGCCTAACATGTTTAAAACCCTCCAAGGATGCTCACTACAATCAACAAAATTCCAGCTACTCACTTCACCCTCCAGCCTTACCCAGCCTTCCACTCCACCTGCTTCAAATGTTCTGTGTGGCTCAGTGCAGTCCAGGAACCCTGGCTGACTTTGGATCCTTCTAACATCCCAACTTTTTTGTTGTTGTTTTGAAATGGTCTCACTGTGTAGCCCAGGCTGCCCTCAGACTCACAGCGATCCTCCTGCCTCAGCTTCTCCAGTGCTGGGATCATGTGATGCAACCATGCCCAGCAAACACACCCCAACTTCCTCTAGACACCTCCCTCTACTTGTTCTTCCCATATGCTGGTCTGCTCTCCCCCGGTCAGCATGTGACAGTACCTCTTCATCATAGGTCTCAGCTGGTCACCTCTCTAGAATGGCTTTTCTTAACTACACTACCAAAGGAGCCATCTTGGTCTTTTTGCACCCCATCCCTTGTTTTATTTTCTTCACTTACCACTCTCTGAAACAATTGTATTTGTCAACTATCAGACTTGCACTAAGAGGTAAGCCTCATGAAAGCCACACCCTTGGCTGCCTCCTCACACCCTATCCCCAGCACCAGTACTGGAACACAATGAACATACACCTTTGAATAAGAAAATACATGAATGAATTCATGTTTCCTATTCAGGCCTGCTTGACTGGCAGAAACCGATGTGAAATGCAAAGGCTTCTACCTAAGGGTTCAGTCACCACCACTGGATGGACTATCCCAAAGACACAAACATGACTACCTGGATGACAGGGATGGAAGAGTATTTCCTTTCCAGTCGGTGAACATAGGCTGCAAGCTCCAGGGCCTCTTCGTAATAGCTGTTCCGGACACAGGTGTCCATGAGCTGAGGAATCTCCAGAATTTCCAGGATTTCTGTGTGCCGGTTTAGAGTCAAGGTGTTCATGTGGCGATTGGAACTGATCTCCTCCGCTTCCTTCACAAAGTTCCTACAATCAGGAAAAACACTGGTACCTTACTGCTGTGCTCCCAAACTCCCCCAGTCATGGAGCATTTACTGTAAAGTGAGCACTAGGCTGAATGGTTTCCCTGATTTAATCCTCACATCATTATTAGTGCTATTTTTTTTTTTTCCTTTTCTTTTTCAGACAGGACCTCGCTATGCAGTTCAGGCCTCGAGCTCACATTGTAGCCCAGGCTGGTCTCAAACTCACAAGATCCTCCTGCCTCAGCCTCCTGAATGCTGGGGTTTCAGGCATGTGCCCAGCACTATTAGTGCTATTACACTTGAGGAAGCTTTTTTTTTCTTTTCTGGCTGTAGAAGGCATCAAACCAGGGCCTTATGCACTGAGTTACATCTCTAGCTCCCACCCTTTCATGAAATATTCTCTCCCATCAAAGTATTAACCAGTCCCGACCCTGCTTAGCGTCCAAGATCAGATGAGATTGGGTGTGTTCAGGGTGGTATGGCCGTAGACTCATGAAATATTCTTGATAAATCACTTAAGTTGCCCACACTAGGCTTAAACTTGTGATCTTTCTGCCTCAGCCTCCCAAATGGCTGGCATTTATGGATGTGCCACTACAACAAGAGGAAAGCTGTGATTTGAGAAAGATTAAGCAGCTTGTTCAAGATCATACCACTGTTGGGGGCCAGGGAGATGGATCAGTAGAATAACTGCTTCCCTGGCAAGCACAAGGTCCTGAGTTCAATCCCCGGTTCTGAGGAAAAAAAAAATCATACCACTGCTGAGCAGGGTGGTACAGACTCGTGCACTTGGGAGGCAGAGGCAGGACTGCTACAAGTTTGAGGCCAGCCTGGGCTACACAGTGAGACCCTATCTCTAAAAACAAAAAACAAAAAACAAAAACAAAAAAAAAAACACGAATAGAAGTCTCACAGACCTCAATCAGCTGCATGGACTCCTGCACTTACAAAAGGGTACGACTTGTGGGACTAAAAACTGTGGAATCAGCCTCCCTAGACTGATTTCTTCCTGGTAAAAGAGTAATAGGCTGCCCTCATAAGGGCGCGAAGATAAAATGAGACGATGCACGTGAAGCATTTAACATAGAACATCATGCAAAGTAAATGTGTCAGAGTAAGAGAAAGTCAGAAAAATGTTCCTTAAAACAACTATTACTGGGGCCAGGGAGATAGCTCAGTAGAATAAGCACTTGCCTGGCAAGCGCAAGGGCCTGAGTTCAATCTGGTTCTGCCAAAAAAAGGAAAAAACAAAACAAAAAAAAAAAAAACTATTATCAGGCCAGGGACATAGCTCAGCCTCACAAGGGCCTCCCTGGCAAGTGCAAGGTCCTGAGTTCAACTGCCAGTACCAAAACAGAATTTTTTAAAAAGCTATTGTCATTTTCATTATAAAGTACTAACTAGCCTTGCTCCAAGTTCCGTCCGGTTTTATCTCTATTTACTGTTCAGCTTTAGTTCTCACACTACATTATCTGTTACTTTTCTACATAAAGACTGCTTTATGAAATCGCCTATTTCGGGTCATGGAAGATACAAAATCAAGGGGAGATACAAAAGTGATCGAATATTAAAGGCTCAATCAAAAATTAAACTTGAATCACCAAACGCTGAACTGAAGCTCTAGGGATGGTCTTTCTGATTTTTGCTGTCGCACAATGACAGGATTTCCCTGTCATCTTCCTATCCATGGAAATTCTCAATCAGCTAATCGCTGGCCTGATAAATTGACATGTATGTGCGCATCTATTACCCTGATATGTATAGTGTGAACTATGCCAGACCCAGTGTGGTATGTATTTCTTTTTATGGGGTGCTCACAACAGCCTTGGAGGCGGGGACGCGCTCCTAGGTACCAATTCTGACTTGGAAACTTACTAGCCGGGGTCTTGGGCAAGTCACTCACCTCTCTCGGTCTCCACTCCATCTAAACACGGGAATGGCAGTACCTACCTCGAAGGCTGCTGCGACCCTGCACAAGGGATGGAGCTACGTCTTAGCTGTTTCTAACCCTCCGAGTGTGGGCTATCCCAGTTAAGCCACCCCTCTGGCGCTGACCGCCACACCTGCAGCTCTGCTGGAAGCTGGGCAGGCGGTCCAGCAGGCGGCCGAGCGACGCCTCCACGTCGCCGAAGAGGCGGTGGATGCGCTCGGTGCACTCCGCGCCGCGGATGAAGGTCTTGTAGTTGGCGAAGGCCAGGTCGCGCGTCTGCTGCAGCAGCTGCGCCCGCTCCTCAGCCAGGCGCTCGGGCTCGCGCCGGAGCCGCTCCAACCCCGAGCCGCTCAGTTCTCGGAGATAGCGGCCCACATCGGGTCGCTCCCGCCACTGGGCCTCGGAAAAGCGATCCCGGAATAGGGACACCAAGAGCCCTTCATCTTCTACCTCCCCAAGAGCCGCTGTCGTGGCTGTCGCCACGGCCGACGCCGGAGTTGAGGACTGGAGAGCAGCCGCCGCCATCTTCCGGCAACAGCGTCACGTGCCCTCCAGGGGGCGCTGGCCCGCACCTGGGACCGGAAGCGGCTGGACACATTTCCTGTCTCTATGGTTTCTCAGCGCCGGGCTTTCTTTCCCCGGTGGTCCTCCGCGCCAGGGTTCGCTAGCGAAAGCAACGACTGCATTGGCGCTAGAGAGGCAGGTTTGGGGGTTGCCGGGGAGGACCGGCGGCCAACTTCCGGTTCCGGGCTCCGAGACACGAGGACGGGTGTCAGAGCTACCAGGAAAATGCGGCCTTTAACTGAAGAGGAGACCCGTGTGATGTTTGAGAAAATCGCAAAATAGTAGGAGCGCGGGGAGGACGAGGGAGTGTGCGCGTGGTGGGGAGTCAGGGAATGTGGGCGCGGGGCCGACGCGAGTCGCTTCGGGCGCAGCCTCCAGTCTTCTTCTTACCCTCAGCATCGGGGAGAATCTTCAGCTGCTGGTTGACAGGCCCGACGGCACCTACTGTTTTAGGCTGCACAACGACCGGGTGTACTACGTGAGGTGAGCCGGGACGCGCGGCAGCGTGGACCCGGGTGGAGGAGGCCTGGGTGCTGTCACCCAACCTCAGCTGGAGCCTTGCTCCCTGTCATCTTTTTAGTGAGAAGATGCTGAAGCTGGCCGCCAATATCTCCGGGGACAAGCTGGTGTCCCTGGGGACATGCTTCGGAAAGTTCACCAAGACCCACAAGTTCCGGCTGCACGTAACGGCCCTGGACTTCCTGGCACCTTATGCCAAGGTTTGTGGGGTGTTTTCTCTTTGCCACCGGGGAAGAAGGCAAGGGTGCGGGCCCTTGGACACGGAGTCCAGGCAATGCGGGGTCCGCACGGGGCAAGTGTCTAGGTCCTACGGCTGGCAGTGAGGTTAGGTGCATGCAGCTGCGGGCTCAGTAAAGAGAGAGGACACTGGGGTCCAGAAAAAGACCTCTCAGGCTGTCCGTGGAAGAAATTGTAAAGTTGAAGACACTTCCTGGTGGCGCTGTTCAGGGGATGGATTGTTTGAGGGGAAAATGCCTACCTGTCCTCTCATTGTCTTCCTCCTTTTGCCTCAAATTCTTTTGAGAAATTAATTACAGAACTGGCAACTACTTTATCTGCACGAATATGACTTAGCACTGTTTTGGGGGTGCTGGGAGAGAGGACCGGGGATTGAAATCAGGACCTTACACATGTCAGGCTGGTGCTTATGCCCTCCTCCTACCCCCCCTTTTGTTTGTTTGTATGTTTTTGTTTTTGTTTTGTTTAGTCTTTTTGAGACAGGGTTTCAGTCTGTAGTCCAGATTGGCCTTGAGCTCACTTTGTAGCCTAGGTTGGTCTTGCATGCTCATTGATCCTTCTGCCTCAGCTTCCCAAGAGCTAGGATTATAGGCATGTTCTAATTTAGCACTTTTTGTCTCTTGGACTTTCTCTGTCTTGCAGTACAAAGTGTGGATAAAGCCTGGAGCAGAGCAGTCCTTCCTCTATGGAAACCATGTATTGAAATCCGGTCTGGGCCGGATCACTGAAAACACTTCTCAGTACCAGGGAGTGGTGGTATACTCCATGGCAGACGTCCCTCTGGTGAGTAGAGATGGCAGTATTACAGACACTATGTACTTTTTTTTCCTTTTTCTGAAGCATATATTTTAAACTCTTGTACCTCAGAGACTCACTGCTCAGCACCCTTTGAATTTCTCAAAGACAGTCCCAGTATTTTTTGTCTTTGTTACCTCCAGCTTCACCTTGTGCTTATTGAATGACTTGGGTGAATGAGTTTGACTTGGGTGAATTCTCTTCCTTTGAATCCCAGGGTTTTGGGGTTGCAGCAAAGTCTACACAAGACTGCAGGAAAGTAGACCCCATGGCGATTGTGGTATTTCATCAAGCAGACGTTGGGGAATACATAAGGCATGAAGAGACACTGACTTAAAGTGAAGTTGTCACAAGGACCTAACAGCTGTGTGGAACGGCCTCGCTTGGTTTCCTGTGTCTGCAGATGCCTCCATCGTGTGGAATTTTGTCACCACTGCGACTTCTATGAGGACTTCTTAATATTATCACTAACAAGTGCAGGCTGGATTCTTACTATGCAGAAATGCCTCAGAAATGTAGTTTCAGATCTATTTGTGACTAAATAGAATACTCTTATTCTATATTTGAATCATTTTTACATTTGAATCAGGCGTTCTTGTTCTTAATGATAGGTTCTAAATCATTAGAACCAAGGACAAGAATCGCTTATTATTGTTATCTGTGATAACATTTTTAGCCAGACTCGTGATAAGCACACAGTGGACTTTCTTTTTTGTGACTATCATGAAAGATAAGAATCAGGCTGGGCATGATGGCTCCTGCTTGTAATCCCAGCACAGGGAGGCTGAAACAGGAGGATCAATGTGAGTTCAAAGGCTAGCAGGAGCTATATATAGGGAGAACCTGTCTCAAAAAAAAAAAAAAAAAAACCAGGTAAAAAACACAAAAAAAAAATTCCCCTTTTTTTTTTTTTTTTTAAAAGACCCCCTGTCTCAAAAAAAAAAAAAAAATAATAATAATAATAATAGCTCATATCACAGATTTTACATGTGAAATATGGCTTAGTTTGTGTAACTTACTGGCACAATGTAGATGTACATAATTTTTTTTTGATAGTTGACACAAAGGTATTAAAATTGGCATCTTTAACCTTCTCTTCAGTGAACATCCATCTGATTACCTTTGTAAGGATAAACTGTGTGCCCACTGATGCCACACCATAGTCCTTGAAGACATCAGGACAAGGAAGGGTTACCTCCATCTCCTCAATCATGAGTTGCTTTGAGAGGGAAGTTCAGTCTTCCTGCATTATTTGAACTCGAGCTCAAGTCATCTTGTCTCAACCTGTCCAGTAGATGGGCGCAGCCTGGCTTGTTTATCTTCAATTCTCGATTCTTTCCCAAAAACTTCTCCCACGATGCATCACAGCCATGGCGACTCCACATACCTTCATAAGGTCTGCAAAATCTGGACCAAAGCAGGCCATCCAGATGGGTAATTATTCAAGCAAAGCTGGTTCAGCTAAGCCAGACCAATTACACCAGGCATGGTGGCACACAGCTGTAATCCTAGTACTTGGGAGGCTGAGGTAGGAGAATTGTTGAGTTCAAGACCAGCTTGAGCTACAAAGGAAGCTCAAGGACAAGCCTGAGCTACACTGTGAGACCCATTTCCACTTCAGGCTTTCCCAAGAACCTGTATGCCCATGGCTGGAGGCTTCATGTTTAGGACCTTAAGTTCTCATCCTTTTTTGCCCCGTAACTGGCAATAAAACACCATCAAACGCCAAATTCCACCTATATAATTCACCATTCCACAAGCCAGATCAAACTGCTGAAAGTACATAATAGTTTGTACTGTACATGGTATCTCTTCCTTCTTTTCTCCCCCTCCCCTTCCCCTCCAACCCCGCTTCCCTGCTTAGTTACAAAAGCTTTGTTTCCATTTTTTTCCTTCCATTCTCTTTCTCTTGTCTCTTCTTTCCTTTTCCCCTCCCCACTCCATTGAAAATCTTCCCATTTCCACATTCCTATTGTACATTTTGGTCCTTATTTGAAAGTCTTCTCATTTTCGTATTCCTATTAACACATTTCAGTCCTTATAGTAAGAAGAACCTGTTCAGCTGTTTTCCAGTAAGTGTTGTATATGTGGAACAAAAACTTCTGTTTAAATCCCAGTTCTTCCGCCTCACAGCTC